ACACCTCTTATCAAACGTATGATCAGAGTATCTGCGGACAGTTGTGCTTGCAGTTTCTCCGAGATTTCTCGCCGCAAATTTAAAGACTGACATTGCGTTATTTAACTCAGTTTTGTCAACATGTCGCTAACACTAACATTGACTGGGAAGAGTAGCGTCCTCGCGGCGACCTACTTTCCGCCCATAGATTTGAGCGACGCGGACTACGAGCTCGGTCTGACGGATTTTGAAACTTATCACACTATATCGAATGTGAATTCCTCGAATAATAAATTTTACTACGGTACAGACGACGCGGAAATTACGATTCCCGAGGGATCGTACGAGCTGCAAGCGATACATGAATTTTTGAAACGTGCACTTTCCCGAAAACATAATGCTGTTAGCGATAAAGGTGTCGACGATGAAGATTATCCAATCGTGCTCCGCGCTAATTACAATACGATGAGAAGCGAGATCAAGTGTGCCTACAGAATAAACTTTAGCATGCCCAACAACATTGGATCGCTGCTGGGATTCTCGAATCGTATACTGCAACCGCGAAAATGGCACAAATCGAACATGGCGATTAATATTATCAACGTGAACATTATCCGCATAGAGTGTAACGTGACCGCGGGTGCATACAGCAACAATAAACTCGTTCACACGATACACGAATTTTCACCGAGGGTACCACCAGGATATAAGATATCGGAAACGCCGGCGCAGATCATTTACCTGCCGATCTTCGTACGGAGCATTACTGATTTAGTGTTACGCGTTACTGACCAGGAGGGACGATTGCTCGATTTTCGCGGTGAAGAGATAACAATTAGATTGCACGTACGACGGCGGGCCACCCTCGTGCGACGGGATGCTCGTGTTGAATAAAGACACGAAGAACACAATCAGACCAGCAGCAACATCATTCGCTAATATCAAATCAACTACGAAGAAGAGACTCACCTCGTCAAACGTTGCGTTTTTACAATCTTTGGGATTTGCGGTGCGCACCATCTGAACAATGACTGAGATTCTCAACATCGAGGAAGAGCCAGTCTTTGACGATCGCATCGTCAAGATTGAGACTCACACATACAACCCGTTTGCCAACACAACATTTGGATACAGCGACGAGATAAGAATACCCATACAACAACAGGATTTATATACATTGCCGTATGAGAGTTTCTTATATATCGAGGGAGAACTAAAGATAAACCATCCAATTGAGGGATCCAATGTGACACTGGGAAATAATTGTGTCGCATTCATGTTTGACGAAATTCGCTATGAGCTCGATGGTGTGGAGATTGATCGCAACAGAAATGTAGGAATAACAAGTTTGCTCAAAAACTATGTAACGATATCATTCGATAGAAGCATGGTTATGAGTAACGCTGGCTGGAGTGATCCGATTTCTGCGAGTGGGCACTTCAATTTCTGCGTACCGCTCTACATGTTGCTGGGATTTTGTGATGACTACAAACGAGTAGTGATTAATGCGCGTCATGAGTTGATCTTAATACGATCGCGCAACGACAATAATTGCCTGTATGGAGATTCTGCACTGGAGCCTGTGATCAACATATTCAAGATACAATGGCGAATGCCACACGTGTTGTTGAGCGAGATTAAGAAGCTGTCGATGCTGCGCGCTCTGGAAAGCGGACGTTACCTCAGCATGGGTTTCCGCTCGTGGGATCTATACGAATTTCCGCTATTGCAGCGTACGACCAAGCATTCGTGGGCCATTAAGACCGCGACTCAACTGGAGAAGCCGCGATATGTAATTTTTGCTCTGCAGACAGGGCGTAAAAATGTCATGTCCGAGGATACGAGTCGATTCGACGACTGTAAATTAACCAACGTGAAACTCTTTCTGAACTCGGAAAGTTATCCGTACGACGACATGAATCTGGATTTTGATAAAAACAGATGGTCAATTCTGTACGACACCTACACACGTTTCTGCAAGAACTATTACGGATACGAATACCTCGAGCCCAATCTCACCATCACACGGTTTTTACAAAACGGTCCGTTTGTGATTATCGATTGTTCTCGACAAAACGAATCGATCAAGAGCGCAACGGTGGATGTGAGATTGGAATTTGAGTGTAAGGAAAACGTGCCTAATAATACCACTGCGTACTGCCTCATTATACACGATCGTGTGATCCAGTACAACCCGTTGACCAACGTTGTGCGCAAAATCACCTAAAAAATGTTTACACAAATACGCGTGTGAAAGAGGGGGAGGAGGAGGATACATAATCAAGATGATGTGAGATGTTTGATGTTAGTGAAGTAATACCTCTCGACTGACTCGCATCGAAGAGATCATGTCCGCACCAACGTTTGTCGACCTGCAAGGATTTATACTAAACAAACGATTTATCGTAAAGGAAGCGGCAATCCTGAGAAGAGGATATATCCTGTCGCACTATTTCTTCGCATGCCCTGTGCCATGGAGCGTGCTTATAAAGTCGGAAAGGCGTCAGGCCTCGTGGCTAACTCAACATCATCACAGCTTACAATGGGAGGATGGAAATGTTCCATACGGCATGGCTCAGCGCTTGATTACGGCAGCTATCGTTGGCATAAATGAGCAAGAAGACGATGAAGAGTCCTCTCTCGTGTATGTAAAAGGACTCGAAAAGCGAGAATGGCTGGCCGAAATAATGGACGATGCGAGCAGCGGTTTCACCATTGAGACCTTGGATGCCATATATGAAGATGTACCTGCATTAAATAAGTTAGATCCCACATATACTCTACGATGTAATAAACATGTAAAAAATTGTGCGTTACAAAATGTATTTAAATTATTCAATTGGTGGTCGGCCGCAAAATCCAGGCTTGGATCCGACGATCATCCGTTTTTTTGAATAAACATATTGTTTACATACTATTTTCTTTGTTATTTCTCTCCCTCACCAGATATATATTTCTAAGAAATCCTTTCTCCTAATATTTTAAATATTTCTCTTTGTTCCCCTCCAGATATATAATTCTAAGAATTCCTTTCTCCTAATATTTAATTTTTTATCCCCACTACTTTTAAATATTTCTCTTTATTCCCCCTCCAGATATATATTTCTAGGAATCCCCTTCTCCTAATATTTTAAAAATGAGTGTTACTCGATTATTAGTACTTTTGTACGATCAGTCTCTCGTCGACTGTTCTGACTGGTGGTTCACTTTTTAATACCCTCGAGAAAAATATTCTGCACCAAAAAAGCAGCAGCATGAATTACTACATGCCGAGACGCGATGAAACGTGCGAGAAGAAATGCGACGAGTAAGTATAACTTTTTCTATTTTATATATTTTATATTTTTTCTATTTTTATATTTTTTTATGAGTTATAATTTTTTTTTTTCCTAATTTAGTTTTAATTTTTTTTCCTAATTTTTTTACAGCGTTTCGCTGGAGTCTCGTGCGGTTCGTATACTTGGAAGACGATACGCATTGACGACCACGGAATTCAAATTCCTCGAAATCGGCATCAGAGTGGATCCGCCGAGTTACGTGGAGATCGCCATAGGAGATCATCGGGGAAAACAGCTAATACTATCTCTCGAAACGTGGAAAGGACTCTACGAGCAACGTCACACTATTCAAAATTATTTGAACAATGACTCTCTCAACAACGATGTGTATAACTTCATAAGTGTCGGGCCGCTAACAGTACGTTTTCACAAGATAAACGACACCAAGCTCATAAGTCTCGAATCGGCGGACGTGCGCATGATGATGGTCGAATCGACGTTACGTCGTATGTTCGAGCTCGATTCATGCATCGAAATAATGTTCGATCGATTGACGAGGCTCATCGCAACGGTCGATATCAAACATACGCAATTCTCCAATATTGCATCCACTGTAACGAATGCGAGAGAATTGCCGAATGCGATACGCGCTAGCAACGCCTTCGACATGCACCAACTTGTCGATTGCGAGCTGGTGGCTTTAGTTTTTAATATGTAATAAAACTTTATATAATTATGTATTAAATATAAGACAAATAAATACTTATATGTATATCATGGTGTACTTTATTTGCGCGCCACCCGTTACATACTTTGCGAGAGAGCAACCACTAGAAAAGAAAGAGACAGCGCGCGAGAGAGAAATCGGATGTGGCGGCGAGAGAGAGAGATTCGGCGGCTCGCGGCGAGAGAGAGACGGCGAATTAAGACGCGAGAGAGAGAAAGAAGACGGGCTGCAGCGAGAGACGTACGCGAGAGAGAAAAAGAGACATACGAGTTTTGAGAGAGACGTCGAAATAAGACGCGAGAGAAATGTGAAGGAGAGAGAGAGAGAAAAAGAGACATATGAGTTTGAGAGAGACGGCAAAATAAGACGCGAGAGAGAGAAAGAAGACGGGCTGCAGCGAGAGACGTACGCGAGAGAGAGAAAGAAGACGGGCTGCAGCGAGAGACGTACGCGAGAGAGAGAAAGAAGACGGGCTGCAGCGAGAGACGTACGCGAGATAGAGAAAAGAGACATACGAGTTTTGAGAGAGACGGCGAAATAAGATGCGAGAGAGACGCAAAGGAGAGAGAGCTTTTAAAGATAATTTTTAATAATTTCTTTATATTTTCTAATATTTAAAAGGGAACAAGAGGTAAGGAGGACATTTTAATCTAAAATAAATACACTCATTTGATAATAATATTTTTTTTAATCTATAAAATATGTGTAATTTACAAAATTTGTGTGTGTGTGTGTGTGTAAAATTAAAAATGAAAAAATATAAAAATAAAAAATTAAAAAATAGAAAAATAGAAAATAGAAAAATATAAAATATAAAATATATAAAAATAAGGATATAAATGAAAAATAAAAAAATAAAATAGTTTACATTATGGACGATTGGGGTGGCGACGGTGACGGCGGCGGTGATTGCGGCGGTGATTGCGGCGGTGACGGCGGCGGTGACGGCGACGGCGTGGCGGCGGTGTAGGCTGAGGCCTAACATCGTACGGGTCTGGTAGAGTGAAAAGCTGCACCAGACCCCAATCAGCTTCGTCGTCGCCTCTTAAATATGCGTCCCAATCCGACATCTCTGGAACCATTATTGGAACGTATGGTTCATCTGTAAACATAACAATTATTAATTTAAAAATATAACAATTATTCATTTAAATATATAATACAATATTATAAATTTTATTCTTACCGTCCCAATTTTCATACACAGGTACAGGTTCCGGCTCGAACAGCCACACCAGACCCCAATCATAGAAATCGCCGTCATCGTCTCTTATATATGGATCCCAATCCCAATCACACATATCTGGAACCATTATTGAAATGTAAACATAACATTATTCATTTAAAAATATAATACAATATTATAAATTTTATTCTTACCGTCCCATTCGTCATCCCCTATCCATTCTTCAAAGTCGTCATCTGAATAATTTTCCCATTCTGCATCCCTTAATATATCATAAACGAGGTCCTTGATCACCCAACAACAACAAATAATACAGAGGGCAAACTACAAAAAAAATATTAATATTAATATATTTTTCCTCCACTATTAATTAATATTTTTGCACTTAAAAAGCACTACCATTTTCGTTGCAATGTCCCGACACTTCGTTGAGGACCGTTCGAAACTTTATGATTGCAGAGACAGCCCTGCTCTCCACAGGCTGTACCCCACTTAAAAAATCTTCACAAAGAACTATATCTATTTCAAAAAACATTCCAAGTGTCGAATGTTTACATCTCACGTTCGAGAGAGCCGGCGGGTCGCATCCATGCGAGGGACACGTGGAGAGGCGCGCGCTCTTCCATGCATATGCGAGAGAGAAAACGAGCCGCAGCGGCGACAGCGCGAGAGAGAGACGGCAAAATAAGACGCGAGAGAGAGAAAAAGAGACATACGAGTTTTGAGAGAGACGGCGAAATAAGATGCGAGAGAGACGCGAAGGAGAGAGAGCTTTTAAAGATAATTTTTAATAATTTCTTTATATTTTCCTAATATTTAAAAGGGAACAAGAGGTAAGGAGGACATTTTAATCTAAAATAAATACACTCATTTGATAATAATATTTTTTTTAATCTATAAAATATGTGTAAATTTACAAAATTGTGTGTGTGTGTGTGTGTGTGTGTGTGTGTAATTATTTATAATATAAAATTTATAAAATTATAAAAAGATACAAATATAAAAAAGATATATGAAATCAAAATTATATAAAATAAACATATAAATAATATATAAAATTATATAAAATTATATAAAATATATATATAAAAAAAGCCGTCGGAGGCGAGAGAAATTCGGCTCGGGCCTGCGGCGAGAGAGAGCCGGCGGCTCGAGGTAGCGGCGAGAGAGAGCCAGCGGGCCTGCTGCGACTGCGAGAGAGGGGGTCGCGTTAACCATCGCTGTCAGACTGTGTCTCGGCATCTGCACATAGAAATATAATAAATTATTATACTATTTTATAGATTTTTTGGTATTTTAATATATATACTTACAGCCTTGACAGATTGGGCACAAGTTGGCCAGGAAGAGTACGAACACTCTTTCTAAACAATCGATGCAATAAAGATGCGGTACATCCCTGTACCGCATCGTCACGTGCCTGTGCGTTAGTGTAGTTGCTGCGAATCTTTCCCTGTTTCTCATGAAACAGGGAATGCAGATTTTCACTGACCCTCCTGGTGAGACGTATGCTGTTATAACGCATACCCATGTATCTTCGTCGAGGGATGCAACTGCTCGTACATCTAACGTACGCGAGTGGCACGACTCCCGAACAGCGTTTTCGCTTTCGTACCCATCGTCATGCAAATCTTCTTCTTCTGTTTCTTCTTGCTCAACAATGGGTATGACATCACCCTCCATTTCTTCTATATCATCTAAGATGATATTCACCTCCCTGTCGTACACAGGGTCGTACATCTCGGCGTCGCTCTCGCTGTCGCTGTCGGAGATCGTGATGACCTCCATCTCGTCATCAGAAACGTTGATCGCAATGTCTTTTTCCATTTTTTTTTCAACACGCGTTTGCACAATTATGATACAAGTCAATGAATTTTTTCCGCACTTCCGTAAATAAGTATAGCCACTAAACTTTTTTCACGGACTGGTCAGGGTGCTGTCAAATCCTAGACTAGATGATTTTTGAGAGCGCATAGGTCCTCAATATATATATTTCGTTCAGCCCTTTGTGCTTCACATGCGATCGAACTTATCTCAGAAAGAAAGATGATCGGTCGTAAAAGAGCAGCCGCTGCAGCAGTTGATTATTGTTTTGTTTACACCTCGTGAAAATATGTCTTGACACATTTACTACAATCCTCTCTTTCACGCGTGATAAAACTTATCTCATAAACACTGCTATACTCTTCGCATATATTGTACACCTATTTTATCACAGAAAAGATAAATAGGCTGCCGACAAGAAATCTGGCGATGATGACGATGACGACGATGGCGGTGGTGACGGTTCTCTCCTATCTGACTCCTCTATTTCTTGGTCCGAATCATAATCAGATGATTGTGTTTTGCATGATACCGATGGTGAAGGCATATCCATGTCGGCAAAATAAAGGTTGTCCACAGTAAAATATTCTGCGCAATTTTTGTAGCGACGCTGATAACATGCAACTCGTTTGTGTCGTTTAGACGATCTGGTGCATTTGGATAACCCACCAGTCACTCTTAAAATGTCTTCGTGAATTTCCAGGAAATAGGCAACTTGTATGCGGTTTTTGCACACCAAGTTCGCGATTTCTTACGAATTGCACAACTGAAGTCACCGCTTCACGTTTAAAATCAAACGGGTCATCTTTTTTTTCATCATAATAGCATTCATCGAGATGTCTATACCATCTCTCGGCAGTCTTATAACACCCCTTTTCATGACACTCTGCATGATTTTGCGGTGCGCTCTCCATTTTGTAAAAATTCACTTGTACTGCACAGAAATAACTACTTTAATTGCACACTAAACTTTTTTTCTCACAGCTATTTTTCCTTGAGGAAAGCGTGCGCTCGCCAGTGGTACTATGGCCCGGCAGCGGCATCGGTCCTCGTTATATATCCCAATCAACCCTTTGTTCGTCAACGTACGAACGAGAAAAATTTAGATGACGTAAATTTTCGGCGCTTGTTTTGTTTATAAATTCCTGCAGCCGCTGGTTATCGGCGCTGGTATTTCTTAGAAATATACGTATAGATCATGTATCAACCCCCTTGATTGTCGGCGTATGCCAAGCGGTGGCCCTTCTTAAAATTTGATTATCTTAGATTTTCAGAGAACTGATTGTCGGCGCTCGGCTCCAAGCGGCCCTTCTTAGAATTTAATTATATTTCTTAGAAATATACAGATAACGTATGGGGGAAGAAACGCAACCCCCTTGATTGTCGGCGCATGCCAAGCGGTGGCCCTTCTTAGAATTTGATTATATTTCTTAGAAATATACAGATAACGTATAAGGAGAAGAAACGCAACCCCCCCCCCCCCCCCTGATTGTCGGCGGCCCTTTTGTAATAGATATTGTTTATCTTTTGTTTATAAACATAAACGTATGAAGAGAAGAAACGCAACCCCCCCCCCCCCCGATTGTCGGCAGCCCTTTGTAATAGATATTGTTTATCTTTTGTTTATAAACATAGATAAGCTTATCTGCTGATAAGACCCCCCCGCCCGCGTGACGTTATACCCCCTCGCCACCGAAAACCCCCCCGCCCCGCACCCCCCTCAGAGGACCCGGGTTAGAACCCCCCTAGTATTCCTACTTACATACATACATATATATATATATATATATATATATATATATTTTTATCATATATTTTATATATATATATATTTTTATCAAATATTCCAATTTATATTATGTACGTAAAAATGCGCGTCAGATCTTTCGTATTCGCGCGGTATCAGTAGTATGTATGTACCACAGTAATCCGCGCGTATTATACGTTGATATGATCTACTGCGCGACGCCTCACTTACGTCGCGCTGTGCTATACACGTTCATACGCGTAACAACAAAGCAGCGTATACTTGAGTTTGTGTGTTGTCCACACTATGGGACAAAAATATGACGCCAAACATTTGCCCCTTTCGAAACGTAGTTTCCTTTAAGAAGGGCTGGATGTACAGGTTAGTTTATTTATAAACATTTTCTATATATGCATACATACACATACATACATATATATATATGTATGTATGTGTGTATGTATGTGTATGTATGCATATATAGAAAATGTTTATAAATACATACATTCATATATATATATATATATATATATATATTTATATTTATAAATATATATATTTATAAATACATATATATATATATATATATATATGTCAGGCGGCATGTTCTCGGACGTTTTTTTATGTTCTGCGGCAGGTTCGGGGACTTTTGGTACATTTTAGGACCGTCCGGGAAAAATTTTATGTCAAATGGTAGATTCCAGGACGTCCCGGAATGTATCATTTTGAGCTATTGGCATGTTTCAGGACGCTATGTATGTACATAATGAATGTACGTATATAAATATAAAGTATTGGTACATGCCAGGACATTTCTGTATTGTGGTATTTTCCAGGACGTCCGGGATTATACCATTTTAGGCTACTGGCACTTTTTAAGACATTATGTACGTATATCACGAATGTATGTACATTTTATATATATACATGCAATGTATTGACAGATTCCAGGACTTTATATGCTCCGGTATTTTCCAAGACGTCCTGAAATATATCATTTTGAGCTTGTCATTTTATTTTTAAAATAGTAGATAAGGGAAATACAAAATTCTTTTATAAATGTATTATTTGTTACATTTTTTTTGAAATTTTTACAAATTTTCAATAAAATTACGTAATTCAAGATATTATTTATTATTATCAAAAGTTATTTTAATTTTTTTTTAATTTCCGCGAATTTTATTTTAAAATAAGTGTTGCGAAATACATTTTCATATCTAAAAACTTGTAATTAATACTTGCAGCAAAGTTGATGCCTAGTAAGTGAGAATATAAATGATTAATAAATTATTATATTTCTTGATATAAAACTGAAATTTAGTCTAAACGCTATTTCACTTTCATTTTATTATACTTGCATCTTTAACGAGCCAATAAGTAAGACGTGTCGATAATAAAAATTTAACAAACTTAAATATAAGGAACGTAAATGTTACTTTTTTATTTTTGTTTGTTAACGATACAATAAAACTATACTATAATGTAGCATATATAAGTTTTCAAAAAGTAACTTCTATTTGTCATTACGCAATAAACTTATCCTCTTCTGCACAATAAAATAAAAAAAATATTTAGTATAAAACATATGTTTCACATATTTTCCGCTTCTACATTATGTATAATATATTATTATATAATATATATATTTTCTATAATATATGTACTTATTAATATAATATATTTTCTGTTTTATAAGAGGGTGTTAACATTTATAAAATCACATATTTTAAAGAACACAAAATACTTAATATCCTATTTTTAACGTACATATACGATTGCTAACTTAACTTAAATCGACTGCTTGTTATATAAGTAAACTTATTAAAGACATAATTTATGAAAAATGTTCTCGAGTCTTGATACAACTACACAAGAATTCTCGGATTAAAAAAAATTGATATTTCCTGATTTTCCCGGTTTTTTCAGGGAGTAGACACATTGCATAATCAAATAACCAAGCAATAAAATATATATTTGTTTACTATAAAATTAATATAAAAATAAAAAAAATAATAAAAATAAAAAAATAATAAATTAATATAGAATAAAAAATGTATCATATCTGCTTTTTTATTATTTTAATTATAAGAAACTTAACATTTTTATATATGATTAGCTTTAAATTTAAATTTCTAAAATTACTGTATTCTCTCTCTAAATACTTATTTTGTTTTTTTAGTATTTTTTTGAATTATTTTAATGACATAGCTTTGTATTTTTTTTGGTAATATTTTTGCAAAAGTTTTATTTCCCTTAATTACATCTCGACATTCACTAATGGATGGTACACGACGTTTACTAAGATGATGAGTAAAAATGTAATTTATATGCTTTTTCCAATGTTCCTTTGATAGGCTCTTCTTTGTCCTTACTTTTTCCACTGACGGTGAAGTATTTTTTCGTTTTGTCGCATTTCGAATTTGGTTATGTAACCAAGTTTTCACAACAACTGGTGTTCGTGATTGCAAAACGTTGTAATCTTTTTGAATTTCTCTAATTTTAGATAGAGAAGGAAGATTACCATTTTCAATATAATCATCGAAATAACGTCCTGCGCTTTGTATTTCTTCTTTAGTCCAACGTCTTTTTACCTTTTTTTGTGAACACTCTTCAACATCATTCAATCGCCTACGTTTCTTTGAATGTGATAATTCAAGAGAAGAATCTTGATAATCAGTCGATGTATCTACTTCATTAATTTTCTTGGATTTTTGTCGCTCAATTTTTGATCTTAGTCTTACACTTTTTCTTTTCAATACACTTTGATCAATGCTAGAAGATGCCAGCGAGGAATCATTTTCGTTCCTAGCAGAGAACCTCATGTCATCAGAAAAATTCAAATTATCAGTGCTGTTTGTCTCTGTGCTACATGTATTTTTCGATAAATTTGGTGTAGAGTCATCAACGCTGCTTGTCTCTGTATCAGGTGTATATTTCAATAAATTTAGTATAGAGTCATCTTGCTGATCAAAACCTTTAATAGGCTCATTGTCAGAATCACTTTCATGTTTCTGAGCTTTCTCTAGAACTCTTGACATTGACAGAATATCTACTTTTGCTACTGGTTGTCGATAAATATTCTTGTGAATATCTACATGATGTCCCATAAAATTAGCTACCCTTGAAATTTCTGTTTCATTCATTTCCATGTCAGCACATTTAGTTGCTATATGCTTGCGCAGAGAAGTACCGCGTAATGTAGATGGCTTTTTGGCTCCACAGTAATTCGAAAATTTTCGTATCAACACAGTTGCTCTCAAAAATCGATGACGCTTTGGATTGGAATTTGGCAAACCAAAAACGTAAGGATTTTTCGAGGAAATACCCATTTTTTTGCGATATTTCAAAAGAAGTTCAATACTGTCACGCATCTTTGAATTTAATAGTATTGGAACAACTCGATTGAGTTTCCCTCGTATTTCGATTCGCACATATTGTTTAGCAGCCTGTTGATTGTATTTTGAAAGTTTATGATAGGTTTCATCATCATCTGGAACTGACTGTTTATTTTGAAAATCAGATATCAAAAGTCTTTCAAGTTCTCCTGCTCGTTTTCGGTTGAAAACTTGTATGTAAGTTAGCGTAGCTTCAGCAAGATCTCTCCATGCATATTCTGAAAATTCTTTTTTCAACAGTGCATAATTTTCTTCAACTTTTTCCTTAACATAATTATTTAAAACTTTTATATCTTCAGTCTGTGGTAACTCAACTTTTTTATGACGTCTATTCATCACTTGGGTTTCCATTACTGTTTTATTAACACTTCCTAAATAATCTTCTTGATATAGCGTCAAAAATTTTTTGCAATTTTTCTCTCCAATTTCATCATGAGATGCTATACATTCAGCTTTCCAAGTAAGACCAATTTTTTTCAAGAATGTACCAAGAGATGATGCATTTGCTGGCGTTTTATAAATTCCTTTTTCTTCATCTAAACCAGCGACAATATTAACTGCATCGATCGCACTACGATAATGTTTTGCATCATACAGAGAACTAAAATCCGTGATTTCAGGATTGATTTTTTTTAATTCTATAAGAAAACGACCAAGTAATCGTATTCGTGTTCGAATCATAGCATGATGGTACTGCTGTCGATGTTCACGGCATAATTTATTGCCATAAAGCATAAGTAATTTGTCGTATCGTACACTTCTAGTCACTTCATCCTCTTGCATATATGGAATGATATATTGTCGCATTATTGTAGAAGCTACCGGATGAATTCTTCCTATTGCAGTTCTAGCAGCAGCTAATATTCCTCGACTATTTGATTTTTTATTAGCACATTTTACATAATGATGTCTTAAATTATTTTTGGTATAAAAACCTTTGCACTTTGGGCAGGCTGTGAAATTTTTACCTGAACGTTTTTCCTCAGTTCGTGGACGTCTCATAGGTATAAGTTTTCCACCATTTTTCTCTGCATTAACATTATAAAGGAAATTTCCTTTTTTTCGGATACTTGCAATTGCTGCATTTTTTTGTGGACCCTTTGGTAATTTGAGAAAATCAGAAACTACTTTTTCTTTGGAATGTTTTGACTCTAAATGCCGTGGAAGTTTTGTTTGAAATTGTTCGCAATATAAACAATAGCTTGGTTTGCCATATCCTTTCGGTCCTTTAGACAAATCTGCTTTTAGTATGGCATCGTCACATGCAGAATTTCCAGGAATATTGAACGAAGCATTTAATACTAATGAAGCATCTGTTGATATATCAGTGATATCTTCCATTGAATTTTCCTCTGCTTCATCTTCTGAATTCTCTGTGTCCTCACCTTCAGAGGGTTCATATTCTGAGCCGGATGTACCAGATTCTTCTAATTGATCTTCAATCTCTTCTGGTTCTTTAATAAAGCATTTTTAATAAATTAATATAATATTTTAATTTAATATATAATATAAATAATATAAATATTTTAATATAAATATAAATATTTTTTTACACATTAAAATGTAATATAAATAATTTAAATGTAATTTATATGTAATTAATAAATGTAATTTATATGTAATGTAATAATTAATATATTATATATTTAATAATTGATATATTATATGTAATTAATAGATTATATGTAATTAATATGTAATGTAATAATTAATATGTAAAATGTAATATAAATAATTAATATATAATATAAATAATTTTAATATAAATATTTTTTTTAGACATGATAGGATGTTTAAGCGAAAAGTGAATGATGAAATTATGAAATATCACTGACAACATCTAAATATATGAAGATAAATATCAATTCAAGATAATTGAACAAGTTTCTTTATAAATATGTATATGTATATGTGATTATTTATAAATAGAAATACACAATTTGTATATATATTTATATAAAGAGATAATATATTAGCAGTTTTTATTAATATGAGTTATTGTTGATTATATATTATATCATGAAATCAACGTCAATCTAATTTTACTTTTAGTAAAACATGTTTTTTTTATAAAATAAGATATTTTTTTACTTTAAGAAAGTATTTCTATTTAAATTTAAAAGGACAAATAAATAAATTTTATGATTTTTTAAATAAAAAATATATAAGTAAACTGTTTTTAGAGACTATATATATTAATATAAAAAAACATTTCTCTTTTTGATAAAAAAAGAAGACAATTTTACAAATTATTCTATAATAAAATGTTTTGTGTTTTGGTGTCCATGATATTTCATAAACTAATTAATCGATTTTATTTATTAACGACTTATTTAATTTGTAATAAAATCCTCTATAACACGAACTATAATTATTTTTAAAAACTATGTAAAAAATGATGACTTCTTAAAAAATAAATTTCTATTTTTCACTAATTTTTTCTACTTTAAGGTGCTAAGCTATAGAAATATTTGATTAATTATAATTCTAGTTCAGATTAAGATTTCAGGCTAGATTTCATTACAAATTGAATAAGATTTAGTTAAAATAAGTTGATTAATTTTTATAACATTAGAAATAGAAAAGCTATGAGAGCCAAACCCGGATGTATGTGCGTGAAGATCACGAAAATTTAATTTTTCGCTGTCTATAATTGTGCACGAGGTACGAAATTTTGCTTAGCAATTGCTAAGACTTATTTAGGACATCACTTTTTAGGGGGGTAAAAGGGGAACTTAGGAATTAATATCTCAAGTAAGAGATTTATCCTAAATAAGTCTTAGCAATTGTTAAGCAAAATTTCGTGCCTCGTGCACAATTATAAAAACAGCGAAAAATTAAATTTTCGCGGTCTTTACGCACATACATCCGCGTTCGGCTCTCATAGCCTTTCTATTTCCAATGCTATTTATCAATATAGGGAGACTTATTTTAGTACTTTAATATGATAGTTTTTATAACATTGTGAACCAAAACACAAAGCATTTTCATTCGGCTTAATTCGACATGGAATAACTTGTAAAATTATCATTTTTTGACCAAAATCTCAAACAAACATGTTTTTCAATAATAAACGCAATCTCTTAATAATAACTGTTTTCTCAATAATAAAGTGTTTAATGTTTAAACTTACTTTCATTTAGTCTTTCTTCTTTGGCGTTCATTATCAGGGATTGATTTATTTGGAGGAAAATATCGTTAAACTCATTTATTTCTTCACAAGTTCCAATACTGTAATCAGTCACCGGCGCAGCTGAGTATTTAGAACAGATTTCACCAGAAATTTTTGAACATGATGGTTCAACTGTTTTATTTATTGAAAGAGAACCGCTTGATTGACTGTTAATTTCAGGATTAGAGATTGTTACGTTAATTATGTTTCGAACATCATGTGACGTATCTTCAATATTTTGGGCATCAGCAATTATTCCAAGCGCATCCATATCTTGTGAATCATATTCATTTTTTTTCGAATTATCAATTATTTCGTCAACTTTTGAATGTCCAAGTGGATCAATAGTATAATTCTGATTGTCTTTTGCAATGTATATGGGGTCTTGATTTAGATTTCCCATTTTCTTAAAATAATTTTTAGAAATAATATTCTCATAAGTTTTGTTCGAATCCCAATTATTTTGAAAATTGGATGCTTGATTACAAATTTTTAATAAAGTATCTATCATTTGAGGGTGCTGTAATAATTGTTTTCCATCATAAGAATAAGTGAAAAATATGTTGGAAGAATTGGCTGAATCTTCCATATAGGGTTATTTGAGGTAAATTAGTATTAAAATTTACATATCTCTTCTAGTATTTTATATTATCTAAAATAATCAAATATTATATAAATTAATAAATATAAATTATATAATAAATATTATAAATTAACAAATATTATAAATTAATAAATATTATAAATTAATAAATTAATCTAAATTTTTGTAGAAATAAACAAAAAATTAATTAAAGCTACACAACAACAAACAATTTATTGAATGATATTTTATTTATATAAAAAGTTAAAAATGCAAATATCTCGAATATGTTTCCCAAAATTGCGATAAAGAAAAGAAAGTGTTTAATTATCTAATTAATAAATAGATGTAAACTTTTAGTAAACTATATGTCTGTTTCATTTGATGTTATAAATTCAAATATTATCTTTTATTAATCATGAAATTTGCAAAGTTTTATCAATCATGTAATTAACATTTTTATTATCTCTACATTCTATCAAATAGAACAGTGAACTAAAAAAAAACATTCCCTTTATGTGTCTTCAATATGAACGAAAAAAAAATTTAAAGGAAAATAATATAAATAATATATTAATATTTATAATATAAGTAATAAATATAATAACATAAATAATATATTAATATATTAATATTATTGACATAAATAAATAATTATGATTGAGTTTTATGGAATACTATATAAATATTATATTAGCTTTTCAATTTACAAATTATTTCTTGTAATAGAGAATACGTAGTAGTTCACGTAGTTTTTAAATTTTCTTTAAAGCCACTTATTCATGTATATTATTGGAAGAATAATTTTTAGCCATTGCTTTTTTTCTATTTTAAAAATATTGAATGATTTTAATACAAACTTGATAATCACTAAAAAAAATAATTTTGTTCGCGTAATATAAAAATATTATAATCTTACCTTAATAAAAATTAGGAAATAGTTTTGTAGATACCGGTATATTCTAGCAATGTTATTTCGTCTTTGTCTTCATATTTTTTACGAAACTTTATTGTCCAAATTTGGATTTTATAACGATTTTGGACTTTTCTTCTAATACAAATTTTCAATTCATGTGGTAACCTTTTTTGTATTCACTTTTTTAATGGGATTCAATGCAAGAGAGACGTATTTATCGATGAAGCGTTACTGCCGCTACACGTGAATAACGTTTATACTCTATTGAAAGAACATCAATGAACTGCGCATAGCCGGACAAAGGAGAGTGGCGCGCTACGCGCAATCAGTAACGTATATGTAAATACGACATGTTTGGATCGTCGCGTAAAAATTTTTACTCGTATGAACTACAATTATTCGACTTATAATATAATATATTAAAATTGGAACAGAAACATTGCTTAATATCTCTCACCATAATTTCATAAAAGTTCTCGCACGGAAAAAAAACTACAAGAATACGAAAAAATTACTCATATAATAATAGTTCTTCGCAATAATATATTATTGGTATACCAGTAATTTTTTCGTATTCTTGTAGTTTTT